CCGGCTCTGGGGGCAAGGAGGAACTGCCTTATCAACCCACAAGCAGGAGGAAATTGGTCAATTTCCTCACCAACTGATGGCAGCCCTGACCCCTTCAGCTGTGGCTTCCAAGCCCTAGGCTGGGTGCTGTAGCCGGAGGCTTGAGTGAAAGCATTTCAGGCCAGGCCGGGCCCAAGGGTCCTTCCCCGTGCCTCACCCGCAGAGCAGGAGCAGGGCTCTGCTGGCGTCAGAGAGGGTCTGGACACCCAGCAGCTTTCCTCTCGTTCCCCACCCGGCTGGAGAAGGGGAACAGGGCAGCAGGTGCCTCTGCTTGCCATGGTTCCACAGCCTCTGTTCACTCCCCTTGGGCTCCTGGCCTTCATGCAAATTGTATCTCAGCTGTCAGGGCCTGAGTGAAGTGATTCTCCCCCTGCTGCTTTGGGTGAGCAGGGCTGGGCCTGCAGAGAACCTGAGTTCAGTCCCTGCTCTGCCACTGCCATGCTTTGTGAGTGTGGGCAGGTCCCTTTGCCTCGGTTTCCCCAGCTTTAACCTCCTAGTTGAAATCCTGCGAGATCTCCTGATGAAAAGCTCCGTAGGAGCGCGGTCATATTCCTACAGCCCTGCATGCTTGGCCTTTTGCCAAGCTGTACGGATGACGGTCCCTACGCTGCACCTAGTTTCTGATGAATGCAAAGAGCACAAGGGCCTTTTAAGCTCCAGTAACAAGGAATGTGCCCTCCAAACAACCTGCTTCCCCGTTGCACCCTACCTCAGGAAGGTCGGCCTAAAGGTTAGATGAGGCCCTGCAAGTCCAGAGTGCTGGATCCCGTTCCAGGTCCTCGCGCTGCCTCCACGAGTGATGCTGGGTCATACGGTCACAGCGTTTAATGCCGGAAGGGACCACTGACCCCACCCAGCACCCCCACCCTAAACACAACAACCGAACTGAGACCACCATACTGCAGGGGGTGTGGGGGGGGGCAAGCTGGGACTGAGTGAGGGGCCCTAGTGCCTGAGCCTGCCCCCCCCCCCCCACCAGGGGCAGGAAGATGTGTGATACACCTAGATAATTCTGGCAAGTGACCCACACCCACATGCTGCAGAGGAAGTTGAAAACCACCTGCCAGTCTGACCTGTCCCTCCCCACGGTCCATCTCCAGCCCCGGCCCTCCCCATGGTCCTGTCTCCAGCCCCAGCCCCAGCCCACCCCGTGTCCTGTCTCCAGCCTCGCCAATCTCTGATGCTTCAGAGGA